GTACTGGAGATTGAGCCCAAGGCCTTTGTACTGAGCTACATCCCTAGCCTTTTTACATTTTAAAAATTTTTGTGATGGGTTCTCATTAAGTCACTAAGTTGCCCAGGCTGGTCTTGGACTTGCAGTCCTCCTGCCTTAGCCTCCCAGAGTGCTGAGATATTTTGGGGTATAATTTACTAGTACCTTGTTAAGGACTTTTGCATGTAAGTTCACAAGGATTTTTTTTTTTTAAATATAGTCTTAATCTTGAGAAAAAATGATGCTGGTTTCCTAAAATATTTGTTCCTTAAATGTTTGCTTGGATTCATCAAACAAGGTATAACCACCTGAACTAGGCCATTTCTTTGTGGGAATTTTACCTTACAAATTCAATTTACTTAATATAGGCTTCTTCAGATTTTGTATTTCTTTTTGTTTTGATTTTAACAGTGTATATTATTCCCAAATTTTCCCTTTTAACTTGCTAACTTTATTAGCATAAAATTGATCATAACTGCCATGGTTTGGAAGTGTCCCTCAAAGGCCCATGTATTAAAGGTGTTCTGTGACAGTTGGTGGACCCTTTGGGAGGCAGGGCCTACTTGCTTACTTGGAGGCCTTTAGGCCATTGGGGGTGTGGCCTTGGAGAGAAGACTAGGACACAGGTCTCTTTTTGTCTCTCTTTGTTTTCTGGCTGCTACAAAGTGAGCACCCTCCTCTGCCATGTACTCCCACCATGATGTACTTTGCTATCACAGGCCTAAGGCTCTGCCTGGGGTTCCTTCAATATATTGTGGACCAGAATTTGTCTCCAGACTGAAAGCAGAGGCCAATCCTAAGACTTGCTTTCATTTGTTTGTCTTTTCTCAGGGATTACAGCATTTTCCAATGTCCAGGAGTAGTTGCTTCATATTTTGTCCAGTTTTGTTCTTGTGGCACAGGTGTGGTTACTGCCTGATGGCCAGAAGTAAAGGTCCTATCCAGTTCAATTTAAATTCCATCTCCTTTATGTCAGTTTTGACCTAAGTGAGGCTCTCTGGTTTTTTGAGACAGGGTCTTGCTACTCCTACCTCAGTTCAGGCAGACCTTGAACTCACCATGTAGCCCAGGCTGGCCTCAAACTCACAGTGACCCTTCTGCCTCAGCCTCCCAAGGACTGGGATGATAGTCATGTCCCGCCACACCTGGCTGGTTGGTGAATTTCAAGTGTTCACTGGGCAGCACGTTCCAGGTTCTTTTATCCCTAACTAGAATCTCTTTACATTCACCTGCTATTGCATCGGGGAAGATCCCTCCCAGTTTTCCTAGCTCACATTACTGATTCCTGCTTTCCAATGAACACCTCTCAGGGTCTCTACTGTTATCAGGTCCCTCATTTACCCACTGTGTCCCCCTGCTTCTTCTAGCACAGATGCTGGCCCATTCAGCTTTCAATGCTATTAATAGTTTGTCTCCATTTGCTTCTATCTTGGGGGAAAAGTTGTCATCCAATTTTATTGTGAATGTATTTTGATTTTCTGCTTTTTCCATGTAATTGCTCAATGTTTTCATGTGAGGTTCTAAAAGATTCAAAAACTGTGAAGCCAACATCCTAGCCACCACTCTGTCAGAATCTGGTAGAAGTTTTAAGAGTTGGCATGTAGTTTACCATGCTCTCTTCCCATCTCTCCAATAGGAGAAGCATGATTCAAAATGTAGCCTCTAAGCAGGGTCTGTGGCATTCTCTTGTAATCCCAGATGAGGGAGGAGGATCTTCAGTTCCAGCCCAGCCTGGGCAACTTAGCAACTTAGTGGGACCTTCTTTCAAAATAAAAAATAAAAAAGGGGCTGGGGATGTAGTTCAGTGCAGAGATTCTGGGCTCAATCCGTAGAACTGCACACACATACAGAAGTAGACCTTTTAAACCTATTTTACTCCCTGAGTTATCATGAGTAGAGCTTGTGTGTGCAGCTAATGGACATGTAGTATGAGTGAGAAATAAATTTTGTTGTGTTAAGCCATTTAAGGTTTGGAGTTTTTCCATTAGCATAGCATAACCTAATATTTCTCCAGACTTAGAGAGTGTTACCGTTCTACCTGAGCCAATTCATTTAGCTGACCCGAAAGTAGCCACCGTTAATATAGCGTGATACCAGGGTGGTAGGGAGAAGAACTATGGGGTCCAGAAGGGGGAAAAACAAGGCAAAGAAATAAAACAGTTTGAGAATGATGGTTAGGATGTAAGAAATACATATCTTATTTGGGGGGATTGTATTGCCAAAGAAACCACACTCCTTCTCCCCCTGTAATGTCAACTGTACCCCTGGAGTTAGGGCGGTACTGCTGTACCTAAATTGCCCACTATAGCATATATATAGTCATGGGCAACACAAGTGTCTATTTTCTGAAGTGTGGTTCCCAAAATAATTATAAAAATTCTGATTTCCTTAAGAATATACTTTAGGGGCTGGGTGTGTTTGAGTTATAGCTCAGTGGTAGTGCGCTTGTCTTAATGACACAAGGTCCTGAGCTTGGTCCTTTCACTAGACACTTTTTTTCTTTCTGTCTTTAAGCTTCCAGTTACCATCAGGCGTCAGATGAAGTATCTAGCACTGTTGATGTTTGAAAGAGCAGAAAACCCAGCCCAAACTTTCTTTTCAGGTGTCTATCATTGCCCTGCTGAGCCAGCCTCATATTTGCTTGTTGGAGTTGCAAACAAAAGGGTGGTAGAGACAGAGGCTAATCTCATGAGTTCAACATTATGGATTTCAGGTCTCCAAGAAATCAGGGAAGAGAGAGTCCGGCAGTGGGGCTGGAGGGTGTGAGGCCTCTATGGCAGAAACAACCTTAGTGAGTTTGAAGAACAGAAAGCAGGCCAGTGTGACCGCTGGTAACAGTGAGATGGGAGAGGTAAAAAGGGCTGATTACACAGAGCTTTCTTGGCCAGTGTAACAAGATCCCAGGAGAAGATTTGAAGGAAAAGAGTACATTAGTCCTCCCCTATGCATGAGGGTACCTCCCAAGATCCCCAGTGGATGCCTGAAACCACGGACAGCACCAAACTCTAGAGTTTAAGGCTGTTTCCATCTTAATGAAGCATATCAACACTGGGGCCATCATATTTGCAGTTTGAGGTATGGTGGAAAAACTAGAATAAATTTCTTTTTCCTTCTTCAAAATTTCACTGGAAGATTTGTTTTTACTGTAGATGTTAGCAACTTCAACTCCCCCCCGCCCCTTTTTCTTATTAGGTTGAGAACCTTCATCTTTTTTCATAAGAGTAGTGTGTAGTTTCTTTGGCTGTCTGATTTTCCAGCACCATCAGCTGTCAAGCAGGTAGCTGGATACACAAATCCAGAAAGGTCAGCACGGTAGACACAGATATGCCTGCCAACTTGAATCCCCTGAGCCCTTAACTGTGCTACCTGACCTGGTGTAGAACAGAAGAACGAGCTGATCTAGTTTTTGGCACACAGATTATAGTTGAGTCCTTTCAGAATGGAGCAGGTAACGACATATCCTGTGCATGGTATGGACTTGGCTTCCCTACCATTGCAGGGCCTCCTACGGGATTCCCAAATACTGTATTATATAGAGCCACGGCATCCTGTTAACACTGCTTCTGCTTGCCACACAGTAGCATTCCATCCCGTGTTTAAGAAAAGGCCTAAATAATGGGACATCGGTAGGGGTTGTGGCAAGCAAGGGCCATCATTTTCCACATGGGATTTTCCAGAAATTTTGGGAGATAGTGACTCCAAAGTGTAGTCCCTGGGGTGTTTCTGTTGCTTTGGAGCCTGAAGGAGTCTGAGCCCATTTCAAATTCTTCAGGGGAATATACATTCCATATTATGGACTTTTACCTTAGAGCTTGATTGGGTTTCCACCATTAAAAGTCCCCAAATCAGGCAGGCTGTGGGTACAACGCAGTGTGACAGCAGGAGGCTAGTATGCTACAATGCACTGGGTTCAACCCAAGGGCGCTTCGCTATCCAGATGACTCCTCAGGCCTGTGCAGCCTCCTCCCTGAGGGCGAAGGGCTTGCCCTCTTTAGCTGGGAGCCCTGTCACGACCTGCGCGAGCTCCACTGGTGTGAGAAGAGGGAAGAACCCGGGAGTGAGGTGCTGCTCCGCGAATCCAGGGGTACAGATCCTCGCTCCCTGGGACCCCCAGCTCTGCCTCTGTGCTCATGGCGTGGGGGACTGCGTGTCCTGAAAAGCTAACCTGTCTCTGCAAATTCATTGGCGCGTTAATAACGGCACGGTTCGCCCACTATTCTTGGGGAATTAGCGCACGGAGGAGTTCTGGCCGGGGCCCGGGAGCTGTCCACCCACTCCGAGGTCTCCCTCGCGCGTTGTGGGAGAGACTCGGGGGTGCTGAGAGGGCATCCCAGGTAGCACGGTCACGGGGTCCTGGGGCGGCAGAGTCCAGGAGCGGAGCGGTCAGGCCGCCTCACCACCGGGCTGAGGTGCACGCTCGCTCCCGGGGCGCAGGCTGGGGGCGGGGCCTCCGTGTTGTTGTTGCTCTGCGGCCCCGCCCCGAGGGGGGCGCGGACCACGCGGCCGGAGGGCCCGCCTCCCCTCCCC